CTCCCGTCTTCTGTCCTCTCGTCTCAGATGTCCTCTCGTCTTCTGTCCTCTCGTCTTCTGTCCTCTCGTCTTCTGTCCTCTGTCTTCTGTCCTCTGTCTTCTCGTCTTCTGTCCTCTCGTCTTCTGTCTTCCCGTCTTCTGTCCTCCCGTCTTCTGTCCTCTCGTCTTCTGTCTTCTCGTCTTCTGTCCTCTCGTCTTCTGTCTTCTTCTGTCCTCCCGTCTTCTGTCCTCTCGTCTTCTGTCCTCCCGTCTTCTGTCCTCTCGTCTTCTGTCCTCTCGTCTTCTGTCCTCCCGTCTTCTGTCCTCTCGTCTTCTGTCCTCTGTCTTCTCGTCTTCTGTCCTCTCGTCTTCTCGTCTTCTGTCCTCTCGTCTTCTCGTCTTCTGTCCTCTCGTCTTCTGTCCTCTCGTCTTCTCGTCTTCTGTCCTCTCGTCTTCTGTCCTCTCGTCTTCTGTCCTCTCGTCTTCTGTCCTCTCGTCTTCTCGTCTTCTGTCTTCCCGTCTTCTGTCCTCTCGTCTTCTGTCCTCTCGTCTTCTGTCCTCTCGTCTTCTGTCTTCCCGTCTTCTGTCCTCCCGTCTTCTGTCCTCTCGTCTTCTGTCCTCTCGTCTTCTGTCTTCTCGTTTTCTGTCCTCTCGTCTTCTGTCTTCTAGTGAATACCAGCTCTCTATCTCCACTCAGTCCTTTCTTCTCAGCTGAGTTCATATGTTGCAGATGTTGCAGATGTTGCAGACACCTCTCTCTTCAGATCCGTCCTCCAGCTCTTCCCGAGGCGTTTTGGGGGGAATGTATTCCCGTCAACGTGTCCTCAGATCGCCTCGGGGTCCTCTCAGAGGGACATGATCTGGATATCTCCACAGGGAGGAACCAGGAGACAGCCACTTCAGAAACACTTCCTTATGACAGGAAGAAGCTGCTATTCTTTACAGCTTCCAGAAGATGCACTTCAGTTCTCCTCATGCCACTTTGATTTGATTAGATTTATTTCAAAGTGTAAAACAATAATACAAAAATGTAACATGAGAATTATTCTAACATTAAGCAGAGTCAAATTAATAAACACAAAGCGATATACAAACAAATGATCTACCTCACACCTTCAAAGGCATGTGGAGAAGTTCACACTGTAATCACCTTTCTCCCAAAACTACAATATTAACATTTATATATATGTGACCTGCTCTATCGAAATCAGTCGCATTGACCCGAAGACACATTTTGAGTTGTATAAACTGCTGGAAAGAGGAGATAGCTTTCTAATGATATCAGGATTGTTTTTGTACTCCAAATATTAAGCTAAATATGTCACATTATATAATGACTGTCACCGAGTCATCATTTTGAGAAAAAGGCCTTCAAAGTTTTCTCTTCTCTGGAATCCATCGATCTGATTGATTATTAGCAAATGATCAAAATAGTCCGGAGGGTAGATATTTTCGTTTGGATTACTGGTCTGGGGGAAGCTTGCGAGTGTGTGTGTGCGAGTGTGTGTGTTACGTGTGTGTGTGTGTGTATACGTGTGTGTAGTTTTGCGTTTGTGCGTATTGTATTGGAGAAACTCACGAGAAACACCGGCTGTTGTTATGTCTTCTGTGACGTCAAGTTACTCCGTTCTCCGCTTGTAATTATGCCGTTACAAGCTTCAAAGTTGAATTCATCATCTGAATTTGCCGAAACAAGTTTAATATTCTGAAAGCCAAGACTTTGTTTAATTGAAATCAGATGAAAACAAACTGTAACGGACCCTGCCGTGTTATCTATGATTACTCTACGCCTTACATTCATAATGTCAGTGGAGGGAGGGGGAGCGGCGCTGCGGAAGAGCAGATGCCCTGTCATCTTCCCTTAACGAGCTTAAACATGTATTTATCTTGTGATTTTGGAAATAAAAGTTTCATATTCTGAAAGCCAAGACTTTGTTTATTTAAAATCAAACAAAACACCCGAACCCCGAAAAACTATTTTTTTACGCAAATCCACGTTTATTTTGAAATGAGCCCGTTGAGAGTTTCTGGACTGATTTCGTTAGAGCGGTCGTCACATATTTGTTTCCTCTTTTTTAATAAAGAAATACGATTTGTTATTGAAAAAACAACACAACCAAAAACATAAAACTATAATAGATAAAACAAACAAATACACTAAAGAGGTAAATGATGAACTTCTACTTTCTGTGTTTCCACGCATTGTTTTCTTTTATTCTAGTTGGCGTTTCCTTCTTCAAAGTTCACAGAGGAATCGAAGCTCCGAACCTGCACTTTCTCTCATTTCAAGTAGTTTTGTTCAAAAGGTGCTTTTTCAGAGGGAATCTGAAAGATGAGGTTTCAAGCCAAGAATACTAAGAAGTGCTGTCTCTGCCTTTCAGCGCGATGAGAGCGGGTCTGGGCAGGCATCTATGTGCGTCCTTTATTTGGAAAGTCAGGAAGTCAAATGGCGACCCATAATTTACTATCTAACCCTGACTCTGATGACCCCACCATTAGCTTTTAACTCACGGCCACACGGCAGCGTGCGTGCTTCAACGGAAGAGCGCTTCC